CAATCAGTTACTACTAACAAAGTCGGCCAAAATAGACACAAGAAATTTTTATTTGGATGATTTGGCGCGCTATCTGGTACGTTACTTGTTTATTTAAAAATTTAAAGATGTTTGTTTGTTTGTTGTTGATAAAAAAAGTTTTGTGCTACTAATTTCTGTGACCTTGACAAAAGGGATTTATTTAAAATGACCTTTATTTTAATATACGGGTCATGATCAATAGTTGCCCAATTCCCATTACTGTGTATAACTCATCATGAAGAACATTTTTAATAAAATTTCGAATTTTCTTACAATTTAAATAATGATTGCTATATTAATTTATTTATATGTAATAGGTAGTGTATATCAAATCAAAACTAGTTTATTTATATATTAGATAGTATTTGTATTAGATTCTGTTCAGTTCGAATTTTGTTGATTTGTTCGGGGCATTATATATAAATAATTTATTTAAAAACAAAACAATCTAAAATTTGCTATTTGCATCACAAGATGACACTCCACATAATTGATTGCCAGGGCGCTTTCTATTCTCATGTTGTGCGTGAATTTGGAATCTGCGTCAATTTTGAAATTCACGCGCGTGAAATTCAAATTAGCCAATCAGAATTTTGTATTCAAACACCCCACCCCAAAATTTAATTACTCACTCATATAATAATAATAATAAATAGTTGCTCTGGTTTCTCCTCCTGTTCTTGTACCTGATGTTAAAAGTCTGTAGCCAATTTAAAAAGGTAGTCAATATTGTGAAATAGTAACGGGATTCATTACCAGAATTATTGTTACACAGATTAAATTTCAAAAATTTATCTTCAGTTTAATATCATCTAATTTCTTTATTTGTAAATGGTTATGTGTCCTTTTTGTTCTTATGATCAAGAAATATCAAAGAGGTATTTTGGCTATTAGAAACAGTAATGTTTAGACTACTTTTCATGATTAGTCATCAAATATGTTACTTTATAATTCATGGGAATGTCTCGAGTTAAAAAATATATGACTTTCAAATAAATAACTTTCAAATAGGTTACTTTTGACCATGTAGCTTTGTAATAATTAATTAATTAATTAATTAATAATAAATAAAATAACATTTTTTAAATTATTGGATCCCCCGGCAACCCGTTTCCCGACAGGATGTTTCCCGACATCGATTTCCCGATAAGACAATCTCCCGACATCTCAAAATTATGTAGTAAAATAGAAATTTAGAATTTATTCTTCTATATATATAAAATACAGCCGCGTTTCAACTATGCAATTTCATTTTTGAATATCTTATATGATAACCAATTTCTGTATGTGTTAACACATATTTTCTTATTTTTTGACATATTAAAAAAAAAAAGAGTTTTTGAAAAGAAGTTTTTGACAAAAAAGTCCGTGCAATAAAATTTACCTCAACTTTTATTTTATTTTTTTTTGCTTTTGTAATTATTTTTTTATTTTAATAAATAACTAAATTTCATTGATATTATATAAATCAAATTTTTAAATCAGTTTTTAAATTAGAATGACTGCATGGGAGGAAAATACTCTGCCCAAAACTTTTATGAGTATACCTATATCTTTAATTCTAGCTGATTATTATCTTGAAGCTGCATAATTTTGCAGAACGAACTAATTACCCTTGTCAAAGCACTGAGCCATCATCTACTAGAGAATGATGATTATGGCTACGGTTGGTTCCATAACTTACAGAAGCAAACTCGTATGACAAATAACTCGGGTAATTCTCCTATAATCACAAAAGCAACCCCACAAGAAAAGGTATTTGCTACACTATAAGAGGGACATGTCTACTTCAAGGGAGGCATCGCTTATAACATCACATAGTTGTGCAATGTGTTTAAAAAATTGGAGTTTTTTACAATATATATTGTATTAATATTAGATTTTAAAAGAATTTATATATACGTTTTAATAAAATTTCTTACATGGTATTTGAGTATCTTGAAAAAAAAAGCATCTAAATTAAAAAAATATCAATGATTTGTTATATAGTTGGGTAGCATTAACTATATGCAAAAATTTACAAACCTTTGTTTATAATATACATAGTTGTGCGATGCATTCTTAAATTTGAGTATTAGTATCTTCTCATCTAAATATTAATGGCATGTTAAATAAATCTTTATGAATGATATAGGATAAATTTTTTTACATAGTTGTGAAATACGTTCTTAAATTTGAGCATCCTATCATTTAAATTAAACAAAAATATTGGTAGCATTAATTATAATAAAACTTACATATCTTTACAAATGATACACGATAAATTTTCTACATAATGCAATGCATTCTTAAATTTGAGTATTAGTATCTTCTCACCTAAATTAAACAAAAATGTTGATGATTAAAGTAGCATTAATTGTATGCGAGAATAATATAATTTATAAACCATTCTAAATCATTGATCCAATATTAACTTCCAAATTGTGGTACAAATATTTAAACAGATTTGAAAAAAAAAATTTCATTTACAGTCAGACCTCATAAATGCGCGCTATGTCTTGATCCCAACCTCAGGACTTAGTGATAAATGCACACCCTCCATACTCTGGTATTTTTTCAGTCCCACTCATATGAAAACTCCCTCCATAAATGCATCCCACGTGACTAATGTATAAAATTCATCGTGTAACTATATAGGATAAATTTAGAAATCATCGGCAAATTTTTGATTTGATTGGATAATTTCCAATATGTAATTTCATTACTTTGTGTCACTAAATGCTTTCATAAAATGCAAGTTGAAGAAAATATTGTCTGTGAGGTTCCAGATGATGATAAAATAATCAAAGAACTTTGCAGAAATATATAAAAATAAAATGAATGTACCTGCTGACAATTTTGAGAAGATGACATTAAGCCTTGAGGAAGCATTAAAAGTTTTGAAACTGTACATTCATTTTTATTACAGCAAGAAAAATAAGGCTACAAACAAATAAAATTGTTTAATAAAATTGAAAGATATATCAATATAAAAAAAATAAAAAAAGTAAACTCATCAAAATGAACTATGATGGATAGTTATTCTAGTATTACTGTATTTAAAATATTGTGTATCATTTGTGACCAATGAAATTGCTTCTCTCCATAAATGTACGCTGTCCCTTGGGGATGCATTTATGGAGGTCTGACTGTATAAAAAATTCCCTGGTTGATAAATGATTTGCGAATTAATGGGTTATTTATGTAGATCAGATCGACAAACCGCAGTTCAACCACGGTTATTATTATCCTCAACCGGCTAACATTCATGACTTATAAATAATAATTAATTGCTGTGGCGCAACTAAGCGAATTAACTCAGAAAAATTTAACTGGCTGATTTGTAAAAAATTACCTCGGTGAAGAGCTTTTCAACCACATACTCAATCAGAATCAAAGTGAGGATTTCACTTCAACCGCTATACAAACCTCCCCAAGCATGTCATTTCGCGAGAAAGTGCAAAGTGATTATCCTCAATAGCAAGTTGTTTGACTGATCCTCAAAATGTTGGAGTGAACTTTCCAACAACTTGCGATATCACAAAGGTGACTGTGCAAAAAGAAATCACTTAGTTTGATATCAATGGAAGTTTTGCATCAAGGCAACAATTTCCCTTTGCATAATGCTCTCGTTCTTACCGTGCACAAAACCCAAGGATTGACATCACCCCATGCAACTGGAAAATATGTTCACGCCTACTCAATTATACGTAGCTATGAGCAGAGTGCCTTCTTGGAATTCGCTTGATATCTTGGATTTGGGCTTTTCTTGTATAAAAACCGATCAATCCGTGATTCAAGAATACGCAAGATTGAAAGCGTGAACCAGAGAGATCTTGACCAAATTAAAAAGTAGCAAAATCAATTAATTAATGTTTTATTAACATATATGAGAATCTCGAATTTAAATATTATTAATAATAAAAGGCACTCCCGTTATAATGACACTCTCCGTGCAAGCAAAAAATGTCAGTATAACGAGATTGTCATTATAACGGGAGTTCATATAAATGTCATGCAAGAATTCCGATTTTTAATTCTTATAATCCTCCCACTATAAACCTTGGTTCTTGTTCTTGTTGTATATAAGTAAGAAAGTTTACACAGCTTTTCAATGAATCATTAGGATTAATATGGATAATATTTTCTTCCTTTCTCTTTTTTATTTAAAAACAATAGCAATAATTTCTTCTAATCCAGGTAGGTATTGCTTCAATTTCGCAAGTGTTATCACAATTAATATAATCTTACAGTGTGGATCATCTATACTCAAAAGTTAAAAATTTTGAAATATTATGTGATCCACACATTGGATTTTTAAAAAA